TGAGCTTGACGGAAGGGTGGACTTCCACTCCCAGAATTCCCCAGCCAACTGGCTGGGGAATTCTGGGAGTGGAAGTCCACCCATCTTAAACTTCTTGAGGTCCAGAAACACAGATTTAGACGCTTGTTTTCTTCTTGAAATCTGCCTGGCTCTGATTCTATGGACTGTCCAAAGCTCCAACACACACACACACACACACACACACACACACACACACGTTTGTGCACATGGGCGTGCATGCACAGAGGCCCCTCAGGCCGGGAGCAGGCAGTCCCCTGCCCGCTCCGCTTCCCCAGCCAAAGTGGGCCTCGGGTTTCGTTTTCCAAACTCGCTCATTATTCATCAAGTCACAATTTCGTGCAGGCTGGCAAGCCAGGAGCCACTAAATATTTCATGCCCCCTCCGCCCCCCCCAGTGAAATCCTTCCTCTGCTGCCACCCAGCCAGCTGACCAAGCACCTGCCAAACAAAAGCAGTGGGGGTCTCTGCCCCCCACAAAGGCCGGGACCCCGAAACCTGAGAGCATCCTGTGCAGAGCGACAGGTGGGGAGGCAGGAGAAGGCGAAGTCTTTCGTCCCTGGGGGGGGGGGCGCATCTTGCAGAACTGCGCTGGTTTCCAAGGCTGGGGGTTGTTTTTTCCCACCCTGGTTGGATGAGACCAGGGAGGATTTCTTGCAAAGGGTGGCGGCCTGCCAGTAGTTGAGGGGTCCGGCCCCAAGGACAGCGAGGGGGTCAAGCTATTCCCCAAAGCAACTCGAGGGGGGACGAGAAGCAACGGGTGGAAACTCCCCAAGGAGAGAAGCAACCTGGAATGAAGGAAGAACTTCCTGACCGTGAGGACAATGAACCAGTGGAACTGCTTGCCACCAGAAAGGCGTGGGTGGTCCATCACGGGGCATTTGCAAGAAAAGACTAGACAACCTTTTGTCTGTAAATGTATGCGGATGGACTAGAAGATCTTCAAGGTCTCTTCCAGTCCTATGATTCCGTGAGGCAGAAGATATGATATGATAAGATAGATATGATAGATGGACAGGTAAGGTAGAAAGTGGATGGATGGATGGATGGAGAGAGGTGGGCAGGTAGGCAGGTAGATGATAAATAGAAAGGTAACAGAGAGACAGATAGAGATGATAGATAGATAGATAGAAAGATGATGGATGGATAGATGGATGGATGGATGGAGATAGGTAGGTAGATAGATGATAGATAGATAGGTGATAGATAGATGAGAGAGAGAGGGGGGGGGGAGATAGAGATAGATTGATAGATGATATTGATGGTAGATAGATAGATAGATAGATAGATAGATAGATAGATAGATAGATAG